CTCGTGTTATGATAGGGAGGATGAAAATAACTCAACCAACTTCAAATCATTTTTTCAAAAAATTATCAGTCATAATAAACAAAACTTCACTGTATACTAATATTGTATAAGGTACACATGACGTTGCCTCTAACTCCATTTCTTTATAGTCAATAATATCTTCCATAATACTACCGAGATTTAATATGAAAAAATGAGGTGCTTTGGAGGCTCTTAAATGGTGGCCCTCTTTTATACTGCCTCGTTCTCGGCACAATGCAAAATCAATTTTCCAAGCAGTGCAGGGCATAATCATGGTCACACTGTACATTATAATATTTTGATAACTTTGAGAATGAATTCATAAAGGCAAGCGCCCGGATTTATGATTCTAATGCATTGGTCTGTTGGAGCACCCAGTACTTAGGTAAAAAAAGAGCAAATCTTGAGACTCAGGAATGTCGTTTTAGTTTGCAGGGTTTTTTATTTTTCAAAATACGCTTTAAAAGTGATGCCACAAACTAACGAAACTGCAGTATAACAACCCATGATAGTTTGCTGAAAGCTTTTGTGGATTTGAAGCTTGTGTAATGTTAGAAACGAGAAAGGAGCGAGGAGAAAGTGAGAAAGGAGCGGATGGTGTTTTTGTCATAATACTAATACAACTGCGGGTAATGTCAAAGGGAGAAGGCCACTATATATTGAAAGAAGTGGAAAGATAAATAAATAGAAGGGGCACCGGAATCAACTGGAAAGTAGTTAATAAATGAAATAAATGACATGAAAATATATAATTGTATTTATTATCTCATGTAACAGCAAAAGACAAACCCAACAGCTTCATCACACCTGTATAGTTTTTAGGGTAATTAGACCCTTGTTTGCAAGGTTTTTGAAATACAGCATAATCAATACTCCAAACTTCGAAATGGTCTTTGCTTTGGGTGTGCCTCTATAGTCCAAAATTTTAATGATCCATTTACAATTACAATTACAGGATTAAGCGGTTTTCCTTTCATGTAGGTCCGCCATATTTAGGTCGCGGCATTACTGGCACTCGGCTCTTCTCAATCTGAATGGTCCCTATCTTTGGTTCCGTGGCCCCATAGTTCTTTCGTCTAAATCTTTCTATATTTTTATAGAGAATATATTATATTTTTTATTTAGATCTAGAGACTCAATAACAAAATCCATGAAGAAGGAATAGTATCCACTAGAGATGATGTCCAAAGATAATTTTTTAATGGAACTCAGTAGGCTTTCAGATAGGAACATCTTTGGTGTAACGTGCCTTCAAACCCATTCTTATTTTAAGCAACCTTTTCATTCTTTTTGGACCAATAAATCTTCGGATGAATAAACTTTAGAAATGTTGAGACGCGCCAGTTTACACAAAATATCACCTATAATAAAATTTTAATCATTGATAAAAGTGATGTAATACTCAAAAATAGATGGCAACACCTACATTGAAAAATAATTAATAGAAAAGGCGAATTCTCGTATTTTGATGACCATGGGGTGCACTAGGAAAGTTAATTACAATGGGCAGCTCTTAAATAAATCTTGTAAAACTAACATGTTTTTGACCTCAGAAGGTGAGACTTACATCCGTTACTTAAGCGTTACATACGCGTGGTCGTGGGACGTTTGCATCTTGACAGAAGACGTTTTATTCATCCAGCTTCGGGTCCATCACAGTAAAATCGTTGGATCGGAATGTGCATAACCACTGACTGAGTCTCTGTTGGGGTCCATATAAAAATGAGGACATAGATAGAGAAGTAGTGACTCCCGTCTACGAAGAGCCCGCATAAAGTAAGTAATCTAAAAAGCAGAAAACAATAAGAAAAATGATCGTATCAAACCGAGATTTCTCGTTTTTTTTTCACTAATTTATTTGTGAACCACGTAATATCATGTAATGATTATGTGGTATTAATCTGACAGTGGAGAATTTCTGATAGGTGTTGTTTTTTTCTGTAGAGTAAGGAAAAAAGGTTTTTTTTAAAAAATAGCTACGAATATGAATTTCGTAAGCCATATATATTGTAAATCTTATGTGTCGCAAAATTTTGATGTTGATTAGCATTATACATGTACTTACATAACTTAAATACACTTAATCTAGAAACTTCGAACTCAAAAACTGGTTAACATGGATCGTAAATTTGTCCACGTTTTTGAATATGTTAAAACTTTTTTTTTTTTTTTGTTGTATAAAGGTCTATTGCTCATTGTATGCCTTTTAGTATAACATACATGTATGACATTAATTGAGTTGTAAAATTCCTCATTATTGTTTGCATATGGATATATGTTTGATGTTACTGTAACCAAAATATGACACCTTCCTACCCTATTTATTTATATATTTTTCATTAACCAGGACGACAACACCATGAAGGTTTTCATCCTTTTGGTTGTTTGTGTGGCGTACGCCAACGCAGGTATTTGTGAAGAGGTCTGCAGTCCTCTGTGCAAATCTGGCGCCACCGCAGCCGGCGCTGCGATCAGTGGAGGCACCGCGGCCGCTGCAGCTGGAGCCGTCGGCGGCGTGGTCTGTGGCACGAGCTGTGACAAGGTGTGCGACCTTGGCGATAAAGTGGTCAGCTGGATCGGAGGTCTCTTCGGCAAACGTGATGCACCACATACATGGGTGGTCGTAAGTGTTTAATGACTGACAGGCCCATACCATATATATATATATATATAGTGCCGTAATATGCTGGTTTACAATAAATGGTTCTTCGTATGCCAATGGTTATTATCACAAAGTTAATGGATTCTTGCATTTTAACTGGAAAAATTTTATTGTTTGTGAGAGGCGGCCTCCAAGTAACAAAGGCATGCCAGTTGTTTTTCATTTTAGTGTTAAGGGCATAAACTAAATAGACGCTTTTAAGTGGTAGTTCAGTGCCCCACAGTCCAATTAATTTGAGATTCTGCACCTAAATCAAACTTTCAGCTGGTTCTCTGGTTTGCAGGTTGCCCATTGGGAGGGTGAATTCCCAAGACATTTTAACGAGTACGACACCAACAGAGATGGTCTCATCACTCACAGAGAATTTGTCAATGCCATCAATGCTGAGTTGAAAGACGTTGCAGCATTGAAAGCTTTCCATTTGGCCGACAAAAACGGTAAGTGGGTCAAGAAACAGAGGGACAATGCGTCTTGGTGCTATACTTGACTGTTTTTGATCTTAACTTCCCCATTTGAAGCAATTATTGCAGTGTCCATATTGTTCAAATCCCCTCACAAGGAATTCGCTTTCAGACTTGCAAACAATGTGGAGCAATTTCATGAAATGACACACGTATAAAAAAACGTTTATGTAAAATCTGCAAGATTGCAGCAGGTTTGGTTTGGGTCCTGTTCACAATGAACTAGTCACTCAAGCTACTGCGCACCCTCCTGCTAGATATTATACAAGATTGTTGGGAACAAAAGGAGGCGTGTTAGTCTCTTAATCTGATTGCATTCAGCGAGAGACCCCGTGGAGCTAGGACAATAAATCAATTGTGTACGGGCCCAAAGTTTTGTGAACAAAATAACATGTGTTAATTTACTTTGATAAACTTGATCTTTACTGTTCTACAGATGGGCGTTATCAATATTTATCGTTACTGCAGCAGTATACTGTAATGTCAGTAGGTATACACCTTTATAATATCCAAGGATATTGAAAAAGAAAACATTCATTGAATCAACATGAATGTATATTTCTTTCTAGGTGATGACTACATCGACAGAGATGAACTCAAGGCTGCCCCCTTCAAGTTTGCGAAGGACTGAAGAAGAGCTATTTCAGGAGCATTTAACAAAATTTTCTTTCTCCAGTAAGAGAAATATCAATGTGGTTAGTTGAATAAAATCAATAAGATACACGTTTGGTTTCTGATTTAAACATGCATTTAATCTGGTTGCAGATCCATGACAATTGCGCTTCGTTGTATCATTTTTAACCAACAAAATCATTCATATATCGAATCGATATGTTGCTTTTCGGTTGGAAAAAAACTAAAGTAACTCAGTAACATGAATATAATATCGCTGTAATCGACCAGTAGATGTCAAACTTAATATGTGCACCTTAATTTTACATGTAAGAAAATAGCTTCACAGGTTTTTTCCAAATTTAAGGATATTGTCACCCTTCGCCCAAATATCCTTGTGTACTGCCTTACATACATTATTTTGGATAATAAATAAATCTTCAGTGTTTATTATTCACACATTTGTCATCTTAAAGGTGGCGTCATGATTGCGACTTGGGGAAAAAATGAAAAATTAGTTTCTCAAATTTCTCTTTTACCTAAGCACCCATGACCACCGTTTTAACGCCGATTTAATGACACTATTTAGTACTCAAGCACACTGCATGCTGAAAAGTCTTAGTTCAGCTTTTGTCGTTGATCAAGCAAAATAATACCATTGTTTAATAAAAATATGTAATAAGGGGCTCATAACTCTATAACAAAAACATTTAAACCAAAATGACGAGATTTTACCCTATACACTCCTGGTCACCTTTACCAATTTTTGTGATAAAATCTAGTTCATGGATAAAGTTACGCTCCATACCCTTTGTTATCTCACCTTAAAATAGAAAGGTGTTAAAATGAGTTGCCTATGCTTATACATTGCCACAAAAAATATAATACACTGATATTTCATGTTTTCCAGGTATTTTCGTTATTTAAAATCAGCACAGATATAGATGCATTACTGAATAATAAGACGCAGGAAAAATCTCTTTTTTGCATCTGGATGATAATAAAGGGTTCAATAACCTTAAACGCGTCTTTTTAAAAACAAGTTAAGTTTGGCGCCGTTTTTATCTCCACACCGTTGTAATCTTCAGTCTTTTGTTATCATCTTTCAAAAAAGATTGGGTTGCCGATAACACGAACGCTTGAAAAAATATATATGATTGCTACACGAAAATTTAAATCAAAGTTGTGTTTTAATACCCTAACATTGCCCTATGGGATACAAATTGAGAGATTAAACATACCAGGCAGTTTATTTGCTCAACTTTTTCTCAATAAAAAGTGGATGTTTGGCCAGGCACGATATAGGTTGGGTTGCCATTGTTGAAAAGTAATGATCATTTTGGGCTGTAGAACAGGGGACCATTTGTGTCCCCATGGTTTTCTTCAGAACCACTTGGTTGGTTTGACACAATAGTAAGAGGCAAGTCAAAAATCTGCTGAACCGCCACCATGAGCAACTGTTTTCACAGTTTCCAGAAATTGTTGCACAAACATTACATTAAACACGAAGTTGGCCATCAAAACAAAAAAAACTTAGAAAATCTGACATGTCACCAATGAACTTAGCAAATTACTGTAAATAAGTTGATGGACCCATTAAAAGTGCAGTTCATTCTTTGTTGGGTCATAAGAGATTTCATTTGTGGTCTGCTTTACCCTAGGTCATCGCTGAGGAGCCTGCCATTTACTGTTCCTCAGAAAAAAAAACAGGTTTTGACAGGCTGTTGACACTTAATAACAGAAGTTGCTGACAATGCTCACTCCTTCCTACTACATATCTGGTAGAGCATAAGGTCCTCTGTGGCGCTGTTACCTTTAAGATACATACAAAGTCAACTTTTTGTCATAAAAACCAACCAAATGCCAGCATACAGTTTCAAGTAGTATAACTAAGAGAATTACCAAAAGGCATTGTTTAATTTTACCGGAAAGTGATGTTTGAACAGATTTTTCTGCTAGCATTCTATGCTGTATGTCAATGGGGCAGAAAAGTAGGTCACGAAAGTAGGTTAAATTGACAACCAAAAATTTAAAGAAAGGAGCACTCTAAAGCTCTTTTATGGCTGATCGGGTGATTTATTCTGTTTATCCCTTGGCATGTCGATTTTATTAGAGTCGTATAAGAAACTAGTAGAAGTGGTTTACATGTGTTACTGGGAATCCACGCTCCACCGATGCTCGGTTCGTATGTACCTTTAAGGGGACCACGAGTGCAGTAGACTGCATGTTTCCCAGGAGCGGACCCAGGATTATGTGAAGGGGGAAGCTTGGCATGGGATTTGGGGCCCGCTGAAGGTCATACATGGCATCACCTACATGTACATTATAAAATATTTGAGAATTAAGGCAATTTCCCGTATTTTGATGACAATGTACTAGAAAAGTAAATTACTTACAACAGGTAGCTTATAAATAAATGTAAGTCTATCATGTTTTGACCTCAGGAGAGTGGCTATGTCAGGGTTACATCCGTCACTTAAGCGTTACACGTGCGTGGTCGTGGGACGTTTGCATCTTGACAGAAGACATTTTATTCATCCAGCTTCGGGTCCATCACAGTAAAATCGTTGGATCGAAACGTGCATAACCACTGATTAAGACACTATTGGTGTGCATATAAAAACGAGGACATAGACAGATAAGTAGTGACTCCCGTCTAAGAAGAGCCCGCATAAAGTAAGTAATTTAAAAAGCAGAAAACAATAAGAAAAATGATTCATATCAAATCGAGATTTCTCACTTTTATTTGTGAACCACGTAATATCATGTAATGTATTTATTTTTTTCCGTAGAGTGTGGCGAAAAAAGTGGAAAAAAATAATCTACCAATATGAATTTCGTAAGCCGCATATTGTAAATCTTGTCTCGTAGAATTTCAATGCTGGTTAGCGTTATACTTATATAACTTTAATACACAATATCTAGAAACTTCAAACTAAAAAACTAGTAATCATAGATTGTAAATTATTCATGGTTTTGGATGTGGTGTACTTTGGCAGTTAAGGGAAATTAAAGGTGTTGAAATCTACAGGCAAACTTTTTGTTGTATAAAGGCCTATTCTCATCGTATACCTTTTAATTTAATATACATGTACATATATGGCATTTATTGATATATGTTCGATGCTACTGTAGCCAAAATATGACACCATCCTCATTTGATTATAAACTAATTAATTAATTTCATTTTAAACAGAACGACAACGCCATGAAGGTTTTCATTCTTTTGGTTACTTGTGTGGCGTACGCCAGCGCAGGGATTTGTGAAACCGTCTGCAGTCCTTTGTGCAAAACTGGCGCCACGGCAGCCGGCGCTGCGATCAGTGGAGGCACCGCGGCTGCCGTAGGCGGAGCCGTCGGCACCGCAGTGTGTGGCGTGAGCTGTGACAAGGTCTGCGACCTGGGCGGTAAAGTGGTGGACTGGATCGGAGGTCTCTTCGGCAAACGTGATGCACCACATACATGGGTGGTCGTAAGTGTTTAATGACTGACGGACCCATACCTTAAATACTCACTCAACAATATAATTAGGTCTCCCATGTTATTTCTTTTGATGCTCCTGACTGTTATTCAAAATCCATGCTCTATCCTGGCATAACGTGCAATTGTCGTTATACCTCGGTCAAAAATCAAACCCATCAAACTGTTCACCATAGATATACAGTATTGAAATATATGCTGGTTTAAATTAATGGTTCTTCGTTGGCCGAGCAGGTGATACCAAGGATTTTAATATATTTCAAAGATCATTATCATAAAGTTAATCGATTGTTGCTTTTTAACGGAAAAAACTTTAATGGTTTCTACGAGGCGGCCTCCAAGTAACAAATGCTTGCAAGTTCTTTAAAATTTTAGTATTAGGGGCTTAAGCTAAATAGACGCTTAAATGGTACTTCAATGCCCCTTAGTCCCCCCCCCCCCCTTTTTTTTTTTTTTTTTTTTTTTAGATTTTGCACCTAAATCAAACTTTCAGATGGTCATTTGGTTTGCAGGTTGCTCACTGGGAGGGCGAATTCCCAAGACATTTCAACGAGTATGACACCAACAGAGATGGCCGCATCTGTCACAGAGAATTTGTCAATGCCATCAATGCTGAAGTGAGAGACCTTGCAGCATTGAAAGCTTTCAAGCTGGCCGACACAAACGGTAAGTGGGCCAAGATAGATAGGGACAATGTGTCTTGGTGCTATACCTGACCGCTTTTGGTCTCAATTTCCCCAGTTTGTAGCAATTTTTGCAGAATATCCATATTGTTCAAATGTTTATTTGAAATCTTCTAGATTTTTACTGCTTTGGTTTAGGGCCTGTTCACAATGAACTAGTCACTCAAGCTACTGCGCACTGATTCCAAGGGGACCCTCGCTGAATACAATCAGATTAACAGCCCAAACCGCCTCCTCCTGCTGGAAATTAAACGAGAAATTTGGAAACAAAAGGAGGCTTGTTAGTCTGTTAATCTGATTGCGTTCAGCGAGAGACCCCGTGGAGCTAGGACAATAAATCGATTGTGTACGGGTCCAAAGTTTTGTGAACATGTATTAATTTACTCTGATAAACTTCTCTTCTACAGATGGACGTTATCAATATTCATCATTTATGCAGCAGTATACTGTAATGTCAGTAGGGGGGCCGTAGCGATAGTCCGAAGGTTCAATAGTCCGAAGGTTCATTGGTCCGAATGTTCACTATAGAACCTTCAGACCAATGAACCCTTGATTAAAAAATCGATAAAAACGTTACCACTTTTCGGACCAATGAACCTTCGGACCAATGAACCTTCGGACTATCGAGACGCCCCCTCAGTAGGTATACACTTTTATACTATCCAAGGATATTGAAAAAGAAAACATTCATTTAGCATGCATGTATGTTTCTTTTTTGGATATTTCTTTCAAGGTGATGACTACATCGACAGAGATGAACTCAAGGCTGCCCCCTTCAAGTTTGCAAAGAACTGAAGAAGAGCTATTTGAGGAACATTTAAGAAAAATTTGCTTTCTCCCCTTATAGACTTATCAATGTTGTTAGTTGAATGAAATCAATAAAATTTCAATCATAAATACATGCTTGGTTTCTGACTAAAACATGCATTTGATCTGGTTGCAGATCCACAAAAAAAAAATTGAGCGTCGTTGTATCATTTTTAATCAACAAAATCAGTATGTCGAAGCGATATCTCGGATGAAACAAAAAAGAAGTGACAATAATTATATAATAGCATGTATTGATCAAAGCTTTAATGTACCAATATGTCAAACTTAGGCTTATATGTACACCCTTTACATCTAACAAGAAAGCCTCACATTAGTTTCCAAATTTTAAACTCCTTTAAATTTCTTCTACGGAGTAAAAAGGCTAAATTCTTAAAATTCTTGAAAGCGTTATGATATTTTTTTTTTAAAACAACTTTGTTTTTATCTCCACACTGTTGGCTTTCACTATCTTGCCTACATCTTTTATGGAAGAGGGGGTCACCGATAACGCGCTTGAAAAACATATCATGTTTGCTAGACGAAAATTTGAAGTGTGTTTCATTACGGTTTTTATTTCAACATTTTAGGCTTGGTCACAATGTTGCCCACGTCCTTTATAAAAGGGGAAGGGGGTCGCTGATAATGCACTTGAAATATATATATATATATATATATATTTGCTCGACGAAAATTTAAAACAAATTTGTATTTTAGTACAGTTTTTATTCCCACTCGGTTGAGTTCGGAACTACACATCTCTTATAAAAGAGGGGGTCACCGAAAACGTGCTTTATAGGCCTAGGGGCCTATATATAATATAGCCTTTATTTCCTTGACGCAAATTCGAAAAAAAAATTATTTAATCTTACTCTGAATAGTTGCCAGAGCAAAATGGAATGGCTGTCATTCTGACGTTCTTTTTTTTTCAGCAAATTTATTTGGGGTGACACACGACAAATCTAAACTGCTTGGGCCCACCCTCAAAGTGGAAATGTTTTTGTTTTTTTTTGGGGGGGGGGAGAGAGGGGGAGAGAGATTTGAAAGTTATAAAAGGCTCAGTTAATTTTCCTTAGGTCTGTTATTCAAGAGAATAATCAAATCCGATTAAACATTTACTGATGTACTGCCATNTATATATATCTGACAGTGGAGAATTTCCGATATGTAGTGCAGTTTTTCGGTAGAGAAAAGCGAAATATATATATTTTTAAATAAGCTACGAATATGCAATTCGTAAGCCGCATATTGTTAATCCTATGTCTCGTAGAATTTTAATATTAAGGTTGGCATTATACTGAAATAACGTAAATATATATCTAGAAATTTCGAACTCAAAAACTGGTTAACATACATCGTAAATTTGTCCGTTGTGGTGTACTTTGGTAATTAAGGGAAATTAAAGGTGTTAAATTCTACATGCAAACTTTTTTGTTGTGTAAAGGCCTATTGCTTATTGTATGTCTTTTATTATTACATACATGTATGACATTATTTGTATTGCAAAATTCCTCATTATTGCTTACATTATTGATGTATTCGATATTACTGTAACCAAAATATGACACCATCCTACCCTATTTATTTAGTTATTTCTTTCTTTCTTTATTTTTTAACCAGAAAGACAACGTCATGAAGGTTTTCATCCTTTTGGTTGCTTGTGTGGCGTACGCCAGCGCAGGTATATGTGAAACCGTGTGCAGTCCTTTGTGCAAAACTGGCGTCACCGCAGCCGGCGCTGCGATCAGTGGAGGCACCGCGGCCGCTGTAGGCGGAGCCGTCGGCACCGCAGTGTGCGGCGTGAGCTGTGACAAGGTCTGCGACCTGGGCGGTAAAGTGGTGGACTGGATCGGAGGTCTCTTCGGCAAACGTGATGCACCACATACATGGGTGGTCGTAAGTGTCCAATGACTGACAGACCCATACCTTAAATACTCACTCAACAATATAATTACGTCTCCCATGTAATTTCTTTTGATGCTCCTGACTGTTATTCAAAATCCATGCTCTATCCTGGCATAACGTGCAATTGTCGTTATACCTCGGTCAAAAATCGAACCCATCAAACTGTTCACCATAGATATACAGTATTGTAATATGCTGGTTTAAATTAATGGTTCTTCGTTTGCCGAGCAGGTAATAACAAGGATTTTAATATATTCCAAAGATCATTATCATAAAGTTAATCGATTGTTGCTTTTTAACGGAAAAAAACTTTAATGGTTTCTACGAGGCGGCCTCCAAGTAACAAATGCTTGCAAGTTCTATTAAATTCTAATATTAGGGGCTTAAACTAAATAGACGCTTAAATGGTACTTCATTGCCCCTCAGTCCCATTTATTTGAGATTTTGCATCTAAATCAAAATTTCAGCGGGTTATCTGGTTTGCAGGTTGCTCACTGGGAGGGCGAATTCCCAAGACATTTCAACGAGTATGACACCAACAGAGATGGCCGCATCACTCACAGAGAATTCGTCAATGCCATCAATGCTGAATTGAAAGACGTTGCAGCATTGAAAGCTTTCAAGTTGGCTGACAAAAACGGTAAGTGGGCCAAGGTAAAGAGGGGCAATGCGTCTTGGTACTATGCCTGACTGCTTTTGGTCTGAACTTCCCCACTTTGTAGCAATTATTGCAGAATATTCACATTGTTCAAACCCCCCACAAGGAATTCGCTTTCAGACTTTCAAACAATGTAGAGCAATTTTATGAAAAGACACACGTATAAAATAACGTTTATTTAGAATCTGCAAGATTCCAACAGGTTTGGTTTAGGGCCAGTTCACAATGAACTAGTCACTCAAGCTACTGCGCACTGATTCCAATGGGACCCTCGCTGAATGCAATCAGATTGACAGCCCAAACCGCCTCCTCCTGCTGGAAATTATACGAGAATGTTGGGAACAAAAGGAGGCATGTTAATATGTTCAGCGAGAGACCCCGTGGTGCTAGGACAATAAATCAGTTGTGTATAGGCCCAAAGTTTTTTTAATCAACATGCATATATATTTCTTTTTTGGATATTTCTTTCAAGGTGATGACTACATCGACAGAGATGAACTCAAGGCTGCTCCCTTCAAGTTTGCAAAGAACTGAAGAAGAGCTATTTGAGGAACATTTAAGAAAAAATTGCTTTTTCCCCTAATAGACTTATCAATGTTGTTAGTTGAATGAAATCAATAAAATTTGAATCAAAAATACACGCTTGGTTTCTGACTTACACATGCATTTGATCTGGTTGCAGATCCACGTCGTTGTATCATTTTTAATCAACAAAATCAGTATGTCGAACGGATATCTTGCTGTTCGGATGAAGCAAAAAACAAGTGACTTAATTAATAACATTTATTGATCAACGCTTTAATGTATCAATATGTCAAACTTAGGGTTATATGTACACCTTTTACATCTAACAAGATAGCCTCACAAGGGTTTCCTAATTTCAAACTCCTTTTCGTCTACGGAGTAAAAAGGCTAAATTCTTGAAAGCGTTGTGATATATTTCCTTTAAAAACAACTTTGTTTTTATCTCCTCGCTGTTGGCTTGTTCACTATTTTGCCTACATCTTTTATTAAAGAGGGGGTCACCGAAATGGGCTTGAAAAACATATAGGCTATGTTTAAATTTGCTGGACGAAAATTTGAAACAAAGTGTGTTTCATTAGGTTTTTTATTTCAACACTTTAGGCTTGGTCACTATGCTGACAACATCTTTCATAAAAGGGGGAGGGGGTCGCTGATAATGCGCTTGAAAAAATATAGGCTATATGTTTGCTGGACGAAAATTTAAAATAAATTTGTATTTTAGTACAGTTTTTATTCCCATTTTGTTGACTTCGGAACAACACACTTATAAAAGAAGGGGTCATCGAAAACGCGCTTTATAGGGCTAGGGGCCTATAGCCTTTATTTCCTTGACGCAAATTCGAAAAAAATTATTTAATCTCACTCTGAATAGTTGCCAGAGCAAAATGGAATGGCTGTCATTTTGACGTTCTTTTTTTTTTTTTCAGCAAAATTTTTTGGGCTGGCACACGACATATGATATCTTAAAACCGCTTTGGCCTACCCTCAAAGTGGAAATGTTTTTTGGGGGGTGGGGAGAGAGAGGGAGAGAGCGGGAGAGAGATTTGAAAGTTATAAAAGGCTCAGTTAATTTTCCTTAGGTCTGTTATTCAAGAGAGTAATCAAATCCGATTAAACATTTACTGATCATGATGCACTGCCACTGCACTGATATGATTGATAGCCCTACCTATCAACCCGCTCTCTCTCTCTCCCCCTAAAAGACTCTCTGCAAGAACGAGCACTTGAAATATACTTCCTGTCTTGCGCACAAGACACTTCCGTTGTACACAACTTCGCGTGTAGTGCATCCTGACTCTTGAGAACAAAATGAGCTGTCCAGTCCTTAACGGGTAAGTACCTGATTAATAAAAAATGGCATGCAAATAAAAGGTACTGGTCTTTAACAAAGGTGTTGCGGTTTTATTTATTAATGTTTTCACCAGATGTTGTGTTCTATGTGATTTTTATCACATGTTTTAGACAGAGTTTTTGCGTCAGTTATTTTGGCTGTGTTTTACATCAACCTATAAGGTCACGGTTCGCTTAAAACGAATTCTGTGGTAGTTAATGCAGAATTTCAAAAACCTTTACTTTTTATCCCACTCTGAGCTTCTGACTGGAAAATGACAATTTTCATTTTTAAATTAGCAGAGACAATCGCTTGTCTAGATCTTAATGCTGCAGTGGCTGATGCAACCTCTGCCGAGCAAGTCTTTTAAAAAGGCCATTGACATTGGCATGATTGTTGATTTAGTAAAATGAGGTCAAGATCAAGGTTTCTGTTTGTGAGCCTTGGACCCAGACTTTTATATTTATAAACAGACGCATGGATAGCATAGTGCTGGTAGCGGTAGTAAATTGCACTTTAAGAGTACGTGTACTGTAATAGCTAGTGTATACCCCCGCCCCACCACCCACTCCCTGCCAACCAAATCTTAAACTGAGAGTCTTTGATTTCCAATGTCTTTTAACTCATTTATGTGTTGACTATGATCTGTGTCTCTGCTCATCATCTGCATTAGTTTTGGCATTTGTGTAATGTTTTTTTTTTTTTTTTTTTTTTTTTTTTTCATATACCAGTGCAATTACAATTTATAATTGTTCTGAATTTAGCAAAATAGCAGATTGAAACAGTTTTTACTGAAATAAATGATATTGAAAGAGGTGTATTCAATTGTCATTATTTTTGGTTATTGCTTTATGTGATATAAATTGCCTATACTAATTGTGTCTGTATTTTATTTTTAAAATGTTAGGATTATTGAGATGCTTATGTATGATATCATATGAATGGAATTCTGTAATGTGTTCAGACAATTCCTTGATTGTTTCAAATGGAGAAAAAAATACAGTAACGTTGCTTTAATTAATCGCCAATGTGTTAGAAAAAAAGAACCTCAGTTATTTTACTGTAAAAACCAGTATACATATATGTGGCAATCAATTTTTTCATCATTCTGTAATTGCATAAATGGTATGTATTTACAACAGAAAAGACTATCTCTGGCCTTCCTAATAGCTTTAAAGCTATCTTTAGACAGGTATTTCTACCCATGTGTCAGTTGTAAGACTGATGGCTTGTCAAGATTATTTTGTTGTTTAAATCACATGTTAGCATGCCTGTGACCATACCATCGATAACAGATACACCACGTATCAACAATGTACTGTAAGTGATGTTTGCGAGTGCCAAACACGAGTGGGTATCACATACCCCCTTCCTGAGGGGTGGTGTAACTGACTTAAACACTGGGGACAGTGTTGAGAACAAAAGACAAGGTGTGATGGATTATATATATAAATGCTTTCCTGCATACTATGCATTCATGTGAGCTACAGTATGTCTGGGTATTTTGTCCTCAGCTGTGGACATGTTATTAATGATGTTACAGAGTATGTCGTCTGGTGGGTCAGGAGGTCCTGTCAAGAGCATTAAAGGTCACAGGGTCTATATACATCATGTACTGTAGCCCAGTCTCAGCTAATAGGGACTGCTCTTTTTTTTTAAGGCATTTCTCTCCTCCCCCTAAAATCCTGAAAACATCATGGCAACTATCACTCATATAACAACTGCAGTTGTGAATTTTTTTAAAGAACTGGTAATATATTTCTGGAAAAGTGAAGCACGTTCCACAACTGAGTCATGGGTCCATTCCAAGTTGTCATGACCAGTGGGACAGGCAGTTTCTGGACCAGTATAATAATTATATAATTATTCCATGAAAGGATGTTTTCCAATAGTCTAATTAATGGTAATTTTTATTAACTATAAATTGAAATATTTTGTTCCGTTGGATTTCCTCAGAGCCATTGGAGCCGAGGAGAATGGTGACGAGAAGAACAATGTTGCCTTGCACCAGGAACTGGAGGGAGGGAAATTGTATGGAGAATATTTAATGGTAAGCAATTTTAATGCGTGGTATATCATTTTATTTTGGATAGAATTGGAAGACTGACAAATGTTTTAGATGTTGATTTTTGCCTTCTACATATCAAAGGATCCTAGGCAGAAAATTGTCTTAGAACATTGTCAGTCTGCTACTGTACTGAATTGCCATCTTTCATATATACAGTATATGGTTGTTCCCTGGTGTTCATCCTTCTCTTCAGCGTATAGAGTGTCTATGCATGTATTTATATAGATATGATTTATTTATTTATACATACATATATTTATTTATTATCAACTCCAGCTTGACAAGTTGTTGTCTTGCCAAGAGCCATTGAGTGCAAAAGACCGAGTTAAGGCCGTCCATGATGAGCATTTATTTATTGTCACACATCAAGGTAAGTAAACAACAATAACAACAACTCTTGTCTAATTAATATCAGATTCTTTTATGAAATTATAGTGGAGTGTATGGTGTGCAAAATAAAGTGACATACATGTACACTATATCTCATTGAACCTGGATATTCTGTCTCATAGAAAGAATTTAATGTGCAGTCCATTAAAGAGGACACAACAGCATTGTCAAGTTCCTTTTGAAACATGTTAGTTAGTACCTTTAGAACCAAATTGTATGTTCTTATGATGTCCAAAACAACCTGTGAAGGAGATATGATCACCAATCATTACTGTTATTGTTCCGTCATTTGCATGGGGATAGACTCACCCATATATATCTTTTGTTACCACTAAGTAGAAGTGCCTCCTGTTGTCTCATCAAAACCTTGTTTGATTTTATCTCATTTCCAGTAATTGCTGTTTCATCTTAATTATTCTTTCTTAAGACCCAGAGGTCAAATTAAGAATTTTCTCTTTGAACAGTTACAGCTATTAACTTACTTCATGAAATTAAATTTTTGTAAATTATTTTCCAGCTTATGAGCTATGGTTTAAGCAAATATTGTTTGAGCTGGACTCTGTGAGAGACATATTTAGTGCTCAAGTAAGTTCTTAATAAATATGGTAATCTTTTTTATTAAGGCATGGCTGTAATACTTGCTGTATCATAAAAAAGAGGGTTTTATTATTGATGACCTTTACATGTATTCACTGGATTATTGAAACTATTAATCAATAATACAATAATAAAGGGTGATGATTTAAAACAGTAATGCCAGGAGAAAAAAATTAATATCTGAAGGGTAGGTTTAGGTAGTGTTTGTTACAAGTGCATATTGTAGAGTTGGTATAGGATATTAAAATATTGCCAGTTAGTAACCCAAATCCATTTTATGATTAAGTACTGAATACAGCTACAATATAGCCTCAATATTAGGGACATGTCTTGTATATGATGAGTGGAAAAACCTGTCTGTGTTTTTATTAATATTTGTGTCATATGTCGTGAGGAAGTATTTGTTATGTTATTTCAGAAAGTCGATGAAGGTCATACGTTGGTGCTTATCAGCAGACTCAACAGAGTCATGCTCATCTTGAAGGTAAGACAACAAAACCTTGACACCATTCTTTTTCAACTTGTCCAAGTTTCTTTTGATTTCTTGTTATATAATTATTGTAATTTCACTTACTAGTACAGCCCTGTTTAATGATTTTTTTTTGTTATAACACTGTCATTGTTAGTGATGTGAATTTCATTTTTGAAAATAATAAAGCAACTTCCTTTTCCAAATATATAATTTTCATACAGTGAAATAATGTAGCGAAATATCCATAACAGAACTTACGTTTGTATTTAAGTATGCTTGCGCTTGGGGGAGGAATAGGCCAACCGTCTATGACTTTGTGCAAAATGAGTATATGTGAAAAAAATTATATATCATAGTAGCACATGCAGTGGTTTATTTATGATCCCCAAAACACCAATGCCATATCACATCATTGTCATATTATTATAAGTCAGATTAACTGTATTCTTTAAATTTATCTTAATGCTGATAGTGTGCTAGCTGGTAAGTAGCTAATTGTTCCTAGTCATTTTTAGAACTGTTTTAAAGCATGTGTTTTTAAATGTACCCCACAGTGACTAGTTTTCCCTGTAGCGTATGGCTGGAGTTATGGTCTTTCTTTGCAGGCATGTACTATGTTTGAACAATGTTAAAATTTACACTTTAGGTACTTGATTTGAGAGTTGATCTATTGCATAAGTTAATTTGTCAAAATATTGCAACGAGATAATGAAATTGGAATTCTGTTACAAATAGGTAGTAAAGTGCAGTAGATGTAGAATTTCATCTAAACCTGTCCCCTTAAACTATACACATTTTTCTTTATTTTACAATAAAATACTATTGAGGGAAATAAATGAATATGCAATTTTTTACAATGATTTTTTGATCAATGTATTATTTGTGATGGTCATGTATATTTATGTTGTGGAATTCATTTGAACTTTGGCATGTTTTTGTATACGTGATTGTGCAGCTTTTTTTACCGTGCACTCTTTGCCTAGACTTTGATCTAAATTTTATTGACAGTCACTCCTCTAAATACCCCACAGATTGAACCACTATGATATAAGTTGCCTGACTGCCTCAACTTCAGACTTTTTGTTAGAATTAAGAAAATCAGTTCGTAAAGCTATTTCTGTAGAAAAAAAGTGTAACTACTGACAAATCGTCTGTTGGCATTTTTTAAAACTGTCCCTGTTTGAGTGAGTGCCTTTTAAATGCATGTAACCATGTAGTAGTGATGCTGTATATAACATTAAAGTCATGAATAGTTATGTATTTTTTTCTGTTGCAGTTGTTAACAGAACAGTTCCTGATACTTGAGACCATGACACCGCTGGACTTTATGGAATTCAGGTATGTGCATTGTGTTAACAGGCCCAAAGCAATTACATGTGGCTCAACTAACACATCACAGATATCACAGCAGTTGAGTTTGACAGAATACAACAGGCAAACGTTACTTACACCTCATTCATTCCTACATGTATATTGTAAGCGGCAATATAAAAATAACATTTTTTAACCTGTTATGCATGTTCTCTTACAAAGCCTGCATAAATAAAGAATTAATTTGTAATTTTTTGGAGAGGTGGATTGTAATTCACAGTTTGACACTATCAAACTGTTGCCTTAGGACAATGTGGCAGCAAATGTGATGGAATCCCGGGAGTGATACTTATTACTCTAACAGTAACTTTCCTGTTATTTCCAGAGACTACCTGGCCCCAGCTTCTGGATTCCAGAGTTTACAGTTCCGCCTTCTGGAGAATAAACTGGGCTTGAAACAGGTTAGGGGGCCGTATGATGTAATGCTCTTCACATTCTATTTTATATCTTAGAATTAAAGTGTAATTCATGTAGTTTTACTTCCAAGACATTTTTTAATAATATTTTCACTTTAGGATATATTCAGTAGACACCGAATAACTCATACAGTTTGGGACCACAATATATTTAATTACTGAGTTAAGCAAGGATCAAAACTGGGCAATATTCACAAGTGAAAGCTTATACCAAAGGTGAAAATCAGTTTCACAAGATTTTTTTCAAGATAGGGAATAACTCCACTCATAAAGTGAGGTGCTATGTGAAGTCTACTGTGTGTGTGTGTGTGTGTGTGTGTTAAAATTGTCTGTCATTTGGCATCTCTCCTGCTGCAGGTGAACAGAGTGAAGTACAACCAGCAACACTACAAGGAAGTGTTCCATGAGGAGCAGCACATTAGAGAGCTGGAGGAATCCACCTCCACTCCTTCACTGCTGGAACTGGTACAGGTAATCACTGTGTGTGTGTGTATTGTTATGTCATTGTTGCATCTACATCAGTGTTGAGTATGTGATAAATAGCATATGTAGAGGATATATAAAATAAATTATCAGCACATTTATGGCTGTACCACCAGTCCCTAGTTTCTCTCTGTTCTATTATAAAAGAGATTACCAAATAGTGTTATTTATCTTGATATACAATTATTATTTTGGCTTGATATACTTGTTTGTGCATTCTACAGTCTTTAAATGTTATTTCACTATTTAATGACTTTCATCATATTTTGTATAAATAAGTTTATCAAATTTAATATGATTTTTGCCCTTGAATCTTGAATGAGACATTAATGCATTCAGTGGTTGTGTGTAGCATTAGTTCTTTTTTCCCAGAACTGGCTGGAGAGAACCCCCGGACTGGAACCAGATGGATTCAACTTCTGGGGCAAATATCGCAATGCAGTGGCAAACTGGCTTGAGGAGAGCTTTTTGGATCCTGCACAAGTACTTTGCTTATGGATTGTCTTGAATTTGTGTGACACCTGTTGGTTGTTTTGAGAGGGAATGTTTTTCTTTATTCTTTTTCACATCCAGTTGTTTATACTTATTCTTATTGATGTGGTGTGGAAATCAATTGGAAAAGTTTTTTGAAATTGAAATAATTGAAAATTAACAGAGATTCAAGATCAAAATATCTGAAATCATCAGTGTAGAAAATAGTACTATGATATTTTCTCTGTCTATGAAAAAAAACTATGCTTTACCCCTCATGTTATTTTTTGCATTTAAACATTTAAAATAAATTTAGACACATTCTGTTGTCAGTTATTTCATTCTACCTGTCAGTCACACTTAATGTTTTATTCATACTTATAGAAAGAACAGGACCCTGCTGCAAAGGAGCTCAGAAAGGCCGAGTACAAGAAACAAAAGGAGACATTTGATTCTATTTTTGATGAAAATATATACAATGCATATGTTGCCAGAGGTAATTGAAAATTCAAGACACTTTTGTTATGTTTGAACACCTTTTTGTCTTGGTTTATGAGTTCTGGTTATTGTAAAATTGTATTTAATAACCTTATTTTAAACAAATCAATTGAGGATCGATCTTCAAATATTTCTCTATATAACTGATCAATATCATAATGGATCTTTAAGTTCTGTCTGAAAGTAGATTATGTTTTTAAAAAGTTTAGTAGGCGTGTCTATTTCAGTATGTTCTTAATTTTTGTATTTTTTTACCACTTAGGTGAGCGACGCCTGAGTCACCAGGCATTTAAAGGCGCCATGATGATTTCTCTTTATCGAGATGAGCCTCGCTTTCACCAGCCTTACCAAATCATCACGCTGCTTATGGACATAGATGCACTGCTCACCAAGTGGCGATGTAAGTGGTCCTGAGGAGCATTGCCTACAGTCACTCTAAAATGTTGATGATGATATTTTAGTTTGATAAATAAAAAGGGGAACTATTTCACTTTTTTACCAGATTTGTGCTGATGTATTTCATTCAGCAGTTTGGCTAGAAGAAAAGTTTTGTCTTAATCTACCATAAGACTTTTTGCCATACTTGTGCTTGAGTTAGTTTTGCAGTTTGGTTAAAAGAAATTTTATACGTAGTCTGGGATTAAAAACTAATTGTATTAACTAGGGGGATCCAGAGTGTCAAGCTCAAAGGGCAGGGGGTGTTTGGGAATATAAAACAAACCACATTTTGGTCAGGAAATATCTGCTCTGAATTGATATAGGTGTCATGGTAAAAAGTCCACTTTTTCAGGAAAAATAAAATATTTGAAACTGCTGGCTAACATTGTCAGTTAAGATCAACTTGACAATTTTTGTCAGATTAAAAAATTTAAGTAGTCAAGCAGGAATAAATATTGTGCAATTTTGAGTCTATGGTGCATGAGCTTGTTGAAAAATTCCTTTTCAGCCTAACAACATTTTCTGAACTTTTGAATGAACAGCCATTTTTGAGGGCTACTCTTTACTTGATAATATTTTAAGGTTTTATATATTAAGATTGTGTGCTTTTTTTCCTGCAGACAACCATGTAATGCTGGTCCAGAGAATGTTGGGAAGCAAAGTTGGAACTGGAGGATCTTCAGGGTACCAATACCTCAGATCCACTGTGAGGTAAGTAAATATATAATAATATACAAGTTTACTCTGAGGATTTTTTGTTTGTTTGTTTGTGCATTAGTTTCATGTAAATGTATCTGCATGACGTGTCATGTAAACAATTGATATTTGTTCACTGTATGTACCAAATTTTCATTTACTTCATTCATTGAATTTTTTCACAAATAATGAATAGATATTTTGGCGAGTCTTAAATTTAAATTTCAGTTATTTATATTTATATTTATATTTGTAATGGTGATTTTTAAACCTATTTACAAAGTATTATTTTCCTAATTCCAGTGATCGTTACAAAGTATTTCTGGACCTGTTCAATCTGTCTACCTTCCTCATCCCGCGACGATGCATTCCTCCTCTGACACGTCACATGAAGCGTGCGCTCTCAGGCTCCTTCACCGAGGACATGATCAGCAAGATTAACAGGATGCGTCTGTTTGCCAAAGAACGTTCAGCTCAGATGGGGGCAAATCAGGAAGCGGCTGAGGAAGACTCCGAAGAGAGTGAGGAAGAGAAGAAAGTGAATGATAATGATGATGATTTGGACAGGGTTACATTTTAGAATTTTCTGATTCAAAGGCTTTAGGGTTATGTAAAAAGGGAGAGGTGAAGTTACCGAACCTGGTCACAGTGATCATATCGTTTACAGGAGTAAGTTTGTACCTGAAGACTCCTGCAGATAGAAAAGAATAACAACACAGTTTGAATGTATTTCTGATGTTGTTTTAACAACAATACTTCCATATAAAAATGGAATTATTTTGATGATTTATAAACCACTTGAAGTAGGAGTGAAAGTATATTATGTTATATACTGCCAATCTTTTCACTTGTGGTTGACTGATTACATGTCAGTTGACTAATTTACACATCAGCTTATTGTATTTTTGCACCAGTCACTTTTTTCACATCTGCCACAGCACAATGGAACCGCACAGGTAGAATGCAAATTTTACATGCATTTTGCGCACAATAAGTGGCACACATCCATTCTTATTGGCAGTACATAGAGGATGGTTTGGTCACAACTTCCCTAGCTCAGTATTGACATTCTATATAAATTTGGTCATTATTTGTCAGATTTTTTGTCTGTATCGTGGGCATTCTGAAGTTGTGGTGTCTCAAATACTTCAATGACAAGCTCACTTCTTTTGAGTGAAACTGTTTGGATGCAGTCTTTTTAGCATAATTTACTTATTGTATTGTTTGACTTGCTTTTTTTGTGAAAAGTATGATACATTTACTGTAAAGCACAAAATGGGCACAATATACCTAATGCAACAATGTAAGTTTTTACAGGAAACATTTACAGATTTGCACACAAGCCAATTGAGTAGAGTATATAAATATATATAAATTTATCTTAATATTTGGAAGCAATCCCCGTCGAATTGACTTCAATACGGGGTGCTGCTTAACGTTTATTGTATGATCCATAAAGGGTAGGTGTTATTCAAGAAACTAGAGAAAAGATGGGAAACGGTATGTATAAAAAATCGATATTGAACGTGAGAGCAGTGTAAACCATCCTGGTTTTCAAGAAGCCACTTAGAACTGACGTGAATTTGTCAACATATCTCAGGACACAAAATATATGTCACAAAAGTCACCTTCTCAAATGTGATTTAGTGGTTATTATGCCATAGTTGTTGATTGAAATTGTGTGGTAGTAAGCTTCTTAACTATACACAACTCTATATTGTAATCTCCTGTTGATTGTTTTCTAAAGAAAAGCTGAAAATCTGAATTTTGCACCATTGTCCCTCCACACCTGTCTTCACTTTGGCAAAGATAATTTTTGAAAATTTGTACAATTTCATGCTTTTTGTAGTATTGGTCATAGCTTCATTAGTTTTGTTTTATTTGAATGTTGTAATATTATGTACATATCTATTGTTTGACATTAAATCACTTGGCAGCTTTGGTTTTTACAGATCAGGCCTGTTCAGACCCGAAGCCTGGCCTGGACTGATTTAGGTCTGAAATAATAAGTATGAAAACCAGTATTGTAGTTATCAGAGGTCAGAAGATATATTCCATGGACCCTGGCCCTCGTCTTGGCAGTTGCAGATCAGTTAGTTTCCATATCTCAAATATTTTAGCCTGAGGATGGCCTTCACAGTATAATCGCTGTTTGAGTCGTCTGGTGATGTATTTATACTTTAACCAGTTTGGGTCAGGGTTCCTGAGTCTTTGAAGGACTAAGAATTAAGCCCAATGCACAAGGCAGCTAATGGCTGAGAGCCTAAGACAAAACGGGTTCAGTTGGGAATGAAAATTTAGTTTCCTGTAAAAACTTAAAACATGATTTTTGACTTGTATAATAATAAATATTTCAGGATGGTATTTGTAATCAGAGATATCTATAATGCAACAATTGTGAAACTTTAATCGATATATGCACCCCCTCACCCCCCTCCCCCCCCCCCCAAAAAAAAAAAAAAAAGAAAAGAAAAGAAAGAAATGCAAGTTTTGTTTCGTCTAGGCTTTTATGAGTCATCCTTCTCCTTTCTACCACCAGTGCAGCTCTATTAACTCTATGACAGTGGCAGGCTGTGGCCGGCGTTTATGAAGATGTTCCGCCCATTTCGTCACAGCTGACATGCTCAATGGGAGACATGTATGGTTTAAAGAAAGAGAATCTGGGTCTGCTTCTGCTGTAGGAACATTGTACGCCTGTGCTATCCTGACAGTATGGGAGCAAGCGTTGTCCTGCTGGAACTAGCAGAGGGTTGGGTATTGATGCATGAATGGCACAATCACCACGAGTTTTGTCTTGGAATTGCCACGTGGCCAATGACACGCCCCCTGTCCCGATCAGACAGCTGTGGCATGTCAGCATGGAATTCAGTCTCCTAAGCTTGGGTCTTCTGATCCCAGTGCCCACTGGCATTGATTGTGGACACTGAATTTGCAAGACTTATGTCCCAATTTGTGTTCAGATGAGGTGCTTGAAAATCTGAGTCTGGGTTCCCATAACCTTATTGTACATTATGGAGCACAAAAATTTCCCTACTTTACCCAGGTAGTTTAGTTTATGAGGAGATGTGACAGATAGGCCTATTTAAGCTGCTTAAACTGAATGCAATTTAGGGACTATCCTGGAAGAGTAAGGTCGATCCAGCCAGTATGATAGGATTATGGGAACGCTCACTAAAGATTGTCATTGTCTGAGTTTGCTCGAAGGTATCAGTACAGTACTACTCTACTGCATGACTAAGGTGGTGTTCTGTCACTGAATACACTGACCATATTAACGTGGTCTTTTTGAAGCACTGTGGTCACTTTCGTTTCTTTTCTTTTTTTCTCTTTGGCTATTATATGGATATATAAGAATAATGTTATAAAAATACAGTTACATGATTTATCTTGGTACTATTATTTTTTCATTATTAAAATATGAGTATATTCTTTATGAATATACATATTTTGACATTGTGTTATAGACTTGCATTTATCGTTTTTGTATTCTTAAAACCAATGGGTAGAAATAAAATCATCACTTTCTGGTTGTTGCGTTGTATTTCAATCCGATGCGTTCACGATGTTTTCTTCATGCAACAGATAATGATTTTTGGGTCATCTTTATGGAAATTTGGCCTTAAATTTGGTCCTAAATTCATGATCTGAATATTTTAAACTATTGAAATCTCGTCTTCCTACTCTGTAAGTGTTAAAGATGATAAAAGAAATTTGTGCAAGGAATATTTAAAGATTGTATAAGAATGTGTTTTACGGCGTTGGAAGTGAATTTCAAGGCTCAAGCCCTATAACATTTCATACTTAAAATTGATCTTACTGCTAGAGAGAGCAATGGGCCGAACAAGATTGGTACTTTGTGAATAACTTTCTTCATTTTGCTTAAATATCGGCCTCATTAGCCACGGCGTTAACCTACTCATCCGAAAAAAGTTAAGACTAGAAATCACTAAAGAAAATTGGTTTCATGCCGTTCCCTGGAACTAGGAAAGCCATATTGAGCAAATATCCAGATTAACGAAAAACCGTGCTTCGTACCTTGCAATGTTAAGTATATAAATTGCATTCCCAAACGTACTGAAAACTATAGTGACCGCGGTAGTCAGGCCAGCCGGACTAGGTTCCTATTTTCCCAGCTATTTTCCCAGCTATTTAGCAGCTGAATCGATCTTACTCCATAGGGCTTCTCGATAAATGCTTTCTGTGTAATCAGTTTAATTGGCACCCCCCCCCCCTTGAGTAACTAGGGGATAATGACTATGGTTGATTACCCCCAACAGCTTAAGTAGGCGTGGCATTTAAGCCGCTTACGCTGAAGGCAATTTAGTGAGAATCCCCGCAGAGCTAGATCGGTCCAGCTAGTACGATGGGCTTATGGGAACGCTCCCTTCTTCTATTTTGGGGTCACATGTTTGAAATAGTCCAATGAATCCAACATATCCAAGTAGTGGATGCCAACGCTTGAATTTAACTACAATATTCATATAGAATGCAGACGACTGGAAAGGGTGAGTTTTAGCACAGCTTCAGTGATGGATGCCTATGTTATTTAGGGTTTCTATATTTATCGCAAAAAAAATTTACAGCCACTGTCCACGTGAACAAGGGTCAGCAGAATACTTGAATATGACACTCACATTTCATGTAGGTTACCTTTTGACCTGCAAGCTTTATTTTACACGAAGAAGAAATGTTCCACTGAACTGTCCACTTTTGCATATATATATATAAATATCCTGATTTTAATGACAAGTCTACTTCATAGGATAAAATGCGACTTCATCTCCACATAAGATATTGCCTGCGACTTCATGGGATATAATGGTGAAGGAGTTCCTGTTGCAGGCCCTACGTTTGGAAGATATTTTATGACAAAATGTGTTTTTGTACTGTAAATATTATCTAACATAGGTTAAGTGTAAGTTTTAATTATATTCACAAACATATGTATGACTGAAAGGAATTCTGTTTAAACAGAAGTACTATTGATTTAGGGTTAGGGTGGATAATTGTGGCTCCAGGATTTTTAAAAGAGTGTGTGTGTGGGGGGGGGGTGCGAGGCGTTATCAAGGGGGGCATAGACAGCAGTATCGGTGGGCTGTCAGATTATAAGATGAATAAATAACTAAGTATTAGGATCAAAAAGGAAGCGGGGCAGGTACATAATTGTATACTCCAATCGCCTTGATCATGGCGCGTCGCACTCTGAAAAGATTTATTACTATTGCATCGAAAAATGCAAGAAGGGATTATATCTATTACTATTATATGTTTGGATACAAGTGCTCCATGAAGTGGTTAATATCGCGAAGTCCTTATTTTTTTTTAACCAAAGAAGTCGCCTTCTATCATGAAGTAGTAATGCTTATCCCATGAAGTGGAAATATACTATGAATTATATCAACACCCGCCTCTTATATTATCATTTTGGACAGTAGGCCTATACCTTACATATGTAGCTGTAGTCATGCAAAGCATGAGACCCAAATATAAAATATGCTATTTGTTACATGACCTAGTTATCGGCTTCTAGTTTTCTGTACACTGTACAGGCCCATAATTTGTTACATGACCTAGTTATCGGCTTCTAGTTTTCTGTACAGGCCCATATTTCTCACACGGAGGAGCTTTGTATAGGATGAACTTTAGTTCAGTGACCCTAAAATAAAAGTACTTTATGGTTTCACCCAGCCATATTTTCTGTTGATTCTTTAAATGTAGGCTCCATATTTATTTACTTCAGCATGACATAATGGTATACAGGGGCCAGGATCCAGGATTTTTGAAGGGGGTCCACCGATGCAAAATTGCCCCCCCCCCCCCCCCCCCCCCCCTTGCGGGGGGGGCGGGGGCGGGAAAAAAGGGGTTTTTTGGGGGAAAAGG